TGCACAGGGCAGGCACAAGGCCTTCTCCACCTGTGGATCCCACCTGACAGTGGTCGTTGTATTATATGCAACTCTATTCTTCATGTACGTGCAACCCAAATCCAGTCATTCCTTTGATACTGATAAAATTGCCTCTGTATTTTATACTTTGATAATACCTATGCTGAATCCCATGATCTACAGTTTGAGGAACAAAGAGGTAAAAGGTGCCCTGCATCGGATATGGAAAAATCTGCACAAACTGCCTATGTAGAGTTCACTGTGAACTACGTATATAATAAATTAGTTTATAGACTATTGTTGATTATATGCCATAAGCCTTAGAAAGGACTAATGTAAAAAGTCACGGAAAACTAGAATTGTTTTTCCCATTTTCAATGTATAGATGTTTCAGTAATGATGATCCTTCTGATATCATTTTTGGTTTCAGTGGAGGTGACTGAAGTCCAGACTACTGTTCTCACATTCCTAAGTACTTATGTTACAATTGAAGACAACTTGTATTGTTTCTTGGGTTTGTTGTAATACATCTCCCCTTAGATATTATTATTTAAAAGGCTTTCTAATGTCTTTGCCTAAATGTTAAATAAATGCTAGTCCCCACCACAATGGCATATGGCATATAGAAGATGGCAACTATTGTTCCTGCTGGGGGAAATACACACAATAATGAATAATCAATTATATCTACCTTAATGACACTTGAACTCTATCCTCTTGTTGTGGGAAGCATCTCAGCTTTTATTAAGCGATATGTGTACCTGTATATGCTTGGGGAAAGCAGAAATAAAAGTGTATTTATTTTCAGGCGGCATAATTGTTTACATTAAATTTCAAAAACTGTTCATGCTGAAACATTAGAAATAATAACTGAATTTTGCAAGGTTAGTGCACATTAAGTCAGCATTTTAAAGATCAGATTTGTTTTTTGCTTTACAATAACAAAAAAAGGTAAAAGTAAAGTTTTAAACTATCAATTACACTAGAAATGAAAAGTCTATAATACTTAGGGAAAATTTAATGAGCAAGTTGCATCACATCTCTGCCACAAACTATAAAAAACATTACTGAATTATTAAAGAAGTCATAAATGTAGCATATACCATACCATTGCTGAGAAGAAATAAATGTTGCATGGTGGTTAGTTCTCCCTAAATTATTCTATATATTTAATGTAGTAACGATCAAAACTGCAGCAGCATTTTTTAATAGTCAAGTAGATTTTAAAGATTACATGGAAATCCAAATATCTAGAATATTATAGAAGAAAGAATACAGAGGCATTCCAATAACAGATACCAATTTCTTTAATTAAGCAATATTATTTTAATGTGTAAACATTAATAAACTAGATAGTTTTAAATTATTATAGAAACTATTTTTTAATCTTCCTTTCTTCATTCTTTCATTCTTTTCCCTTCTTTATTTTAGAATTATGGAAGCTGATTATAAACTTAATTAAGAGAGGCAAAATGCCAAAAATACAAAGATAGTTTGAAGAAAGATTAAAGTTACAGGAGTTATACTACCAGATTTCATGACCTATTATAAAGCTATAGTAATTAAATTTCTTTTTTCCTAATTGGTATAGCCGCTGTGGAAATAGTGGCTCTAAAAACTTAAGAGGTCCTCTAAAATTTAGAAATGAAAATGCCACATGATCCAAGAATGTCATTACTGGGTATTTACCCTAAGAATATAAAAGAATACAAAAACACTAATTCAGAAGGTTATATGCACGTCTATAGTCACTGCAGTAGTATTTACAGTAACCAAAATATGGAATCAGCCCAAGTAGCCACTGTTAGATGATAGAATAAAGAAGATGTGGAATTTATACACAATGGAATATTACTCAGCCTTAAAATGGATGAGATCTTGAGGCACCTGGGTGGCTCAGTTGGTTAAGCATCCGACTTTGGCTCAGGTCATGATCTCACGGTTCATGGGTTCAAGCCCCACGTTGTGCTCGATGGCACAAAGCCTGCTTGGGATTCTGGTTCGTCTTCTCTCTGCCCCTCCCCCACTTGTGCTCTGTCTCTCTCTATCAAAAATAAATAAATGTAAAAAAAAAAAAAGGATGAGATCTTGCCATTTGTGCCAACATGGGTAGACACAGGAAGTATTATGGTAAGCGAAACAAGCCAGACCGAGAAATACAAATACCATATGATTCACTAATATACGGAATCTAAAAACAAACAATCAAATCAACAAACAAGCAAAGTTAGATGTAGACCTATCAATACGGAGAACAAATTTATGGTTGCCAGAGAGGAGGGGGATGGGGGATAGGCAAAAAGGCCGGGGTGGGGCGGGGGAGAGGAAGATACAGGCTTCCAATTATGGAATGAGTTAAGTTACAGGAATAAAAGGTACAGCATAGAAAATATAGTCAATGGTATTGACAGGTGGTAGCTACACTTGTGGCTAGCATAACATAATGGATAAACACATTGATTCACTGTGTTTTACATCTGAGACTAACGTACATTGTTTGTCAATTACACTGCAATAAAAAAAAAAAAAAGGAAAGAGAACATTGTCTAGAAAACGGACCAAATGATTGATGGAATACAATAGTGACTTCAGAAATAGATCTACAAATACACTGTTACCTAACTTATGATGGATGCATCACTATTTTCTCAAAGAGGAAGAACGATCTTTTCCATAAATACTCTTAGGCAATTTGTATATTTATTTGGAGAGAAAAAAAGGATCTGGGCGCGTACCCATTCCCTATACAGACTCAATTCTACTTGATTAAAGATATCAATGTGAAATACAAACATCTAAAAGGAAAGAATAGTGAAACATCTTGGAGATATTGAAATATATAAAGCATTTTAAACAGACCTCATAAAACAATGGTTATCTAAGATTAAAATGATTCATTGCACTGATTTAAGAAATTATGTTCATCACAATTAATAGTATGAGAAGGAAACTCTAACAGTGGGAAAAGATGCTTTTTAAAAAAAATTTTTTTTAGAAGGTGTGGAGGGGCAGAGAGAGAGAGAAGAGAAAATCCCTATCTGTCAGCACAGAGCCCAACACGAGGCTCAAACTCACAAACCATGAGGTCATGACCTGAGCCAATATCAAGAGTCAGACTCTTAACCAACTAAACCATCCAGATGCCCAAGGGAGTATTTTTTTTAACGTTTATTCACTTTTGAGAAATAGAGAGAGACAGAGAATGAGTGGGGGAGGGGCAGAGAGAGAGGGAGACACAAAATCCAAAGCAGTCTCCAGGCTCTGAACTGTCAGAGCCCCACCTGGGGCTTGAACCCATGGAGGGCGGGATCATGACCTGAGCTGAAGTCATATGCTCAACCAACTGAGCCACCCAGGCACCCCTAGATGCCTGAGGGAGAGGATACTTTTATCAGACCTACATAATCAGACAAATCGTGGACAAAGGATTTGTAAGCATAATATAAAGGTAACTGTTCCAAATCCATAAAGAGTAGACAAGAAATACAATATGAAGATGACAAAAGGTATTGGTGTGGACATCAAAGATGTGGGAGTAGCTGTTTTTAATTACCATTTTCAAGAAATTCTTCTCCATATCAGGGCAAAATGTTTTTATAAACTATAAATTATTATCCTTAAAAAATACATGACAGGGGTGCCTGGGTGGCTCAGTCCGTTGAGCGTCGGACTTCGGCTCAGGTCACGATCTCCCAGGGCGTGAGTTCGAGCCCCGCTTCAGGCTCTGTGCTGATAGCTCAGAGCCTGGAGCCTGCTTCAGATTCTGTGTCTTCCTCTCTCTCTCTCTTTCTCTCTCTCTCTCTCTTTCTCTCTCTCTCTCTCTCTCTGTCTCTCTGCCCCTCCCCCACACATGCTCTGTCTCTGTCTTAAAAATAAATAAAACGTTTTAAAAATTAAAAAAAATAAAGGTAACAAAAATAGATAAAAATAATTCACAGTGTTAGCAGGCAGAAAAAGAATTATTCATGTGTGTGTGCACATGTGAGTGTGTGTGTTTAAGGGGACAGTTCATCGCAGACAGCAGACTGAAGGATTCTCCTGGGGTCCTGGTAATGTTCCAATTTTACTATCATCATAGCTGTTTGATCTGGATTCTGATTACACAGCTGTCTTGAATTTGCAAAAATGTATGATGCATGCATTTGTTAATAAGTATATTATGTTTAAATAAGTTAAAACACCACAAAAAAGGGGAAAACAAGTACTTGTAAATTTTTACTTTTACTTGTAAATTTTTTTAATGATGTAGTAAGCATCATTCAATCATCTTCATTCTGCCCCCAGAGATAAACTCATAAAAAGCCATTGTAGTAGAAGAAGATCATTAAAGGTTGCAAGAACAATGAAAACATCTTTCCTACAAATACAACGATTTGATTCCAGATCGCTGGGTTACAGTAGAAAGACTTTACCAGGAGACATTGTGGAAAGGTATCTAACATAACTTTATTTGCAGGGGGAGTATAAAGATGTCCTGTAGAATTAGGAGATATACCACGCCTTTGTTTGATATTTTCAAACGCTTGAGGCATAATTAGCTTGTATTCTTTCTCCTCAGGGAGAGACTCAAAGGAATAAAGTCATCCATAAATCCTTACTGGGTTGTGCCATGAACAAATGGGAGCCCAGAGATTTTCCACCTCGCAGGTGAGCACACTGTAGCTGTCTCTGTGACTAACTCTGAGTCTAGTGACTCTTCAGGACCCCACCTCCCATTTACATTATTGTCCCCAAGCCCCCAGCCGCTTCCATGATTTAACTATCTCTTTAACAGTTCTCTTTTGTTAACTGAAGTTTCTGGGCAAATACAAGGTTGTAAACATCTTTATTATAATTTTTGGTGAAAGCTAGACATTTGCTAAGATGTAGCAAGGTTGTAATCATTGAATAGTGGGGGAAAAAAAAGCAATCTCTGAAAAGGGAATTGGTTAAGAAATTCACACCCAAGACCTTAAGATTTTCCTGTTTAGTTTCTTTCACTTGGACCCTTAGTAAAATGTCAAATATGATACTATTATGCGTAGTTAATTGGATATTTTCAGAATTTCTAACTCAAATCACACATTTCCATAGTGGTTTCCAATCCCTCTAAAGTAAAAGGATTGCCTCAATGTGTTTGTAACACTTGCAATTTCTCTGTTTCAAATACATCATGTGTTTCCCAAATTTATCAATGTCCTTTTCAAACCATCCCTTTTAGTTGGAAGTGAGGTGAAAGCAAACTATTAAAGCATTGATATCAGTACGTAATGC